AAAAACATAGAAAGTGTTTACATGATTTGAAAATAGAGTCTTGAAGCAAGTTTGAAATGACAACACAAGTAGTATTGGTTCACTGTCAAAAAAAAAAAAAAAAAAAAACCAAGAAGAAATTGAACCAGTCCTAAGAATTCACTTTGTAGCTAAGGAAATGGTTTTCACAAAATTGAAAAAATGTCCCAAAGCAACAGTATTATATTTCTTAAGCTATTGCTGTTACTGACATAGAATGAATTCTTTCTATAATTCTTCTGTGCCTTGGTTGGTGACAAAGTGGTTACTAGGACAAGTTGTATAAAGCTATTTCCCAGGCTTCCAAACATACAAAAAAAGAAATTCTCATTTGAGTGTCACCTGCTTCAATTATTAAATGGGTTTAAAGTCACACGACTCAATATATAAATCAAAATGAAAATCAATATTCTATGAGCACAAATGTGCAGAAGTGAAATGTAATGTTTTCATGGAATGCCAATAATGGTGGAAATAAAATTTTGTTTCAGTGACTACAAATGCAAGCTGGTATAGTGCGTATAGTGTAAAGAATTGGTAGTTGGGGTAATAATGCCCCATTAATAATATATAGCTTCTTGAATACCGGGATTTTTTTCTATAATGTGACAGAATGTTACTATGTGGTAACAAATATTTCTTTCACTTTTAACATTTAAATATATATACAGATATATATATATATATCTGTATATATATATATATATTTATACACACACACTAAGACTAGAAGACTATTAAGGAGTGATTTCATGTAAGTAGGTGACATACAACTGCGAAAATGGCATTTTGCCACATATTCTCCTTCAGAGCTCTTTTTTAAATAGACTTAATTGTTTTAGAACAGCTTCAAATTCACAGAAAACTTCAGCAGGTATTTTCCACATATTCTTAACTTTCAGGCATGCAGAGCCTCCCCCATTATCCATACTCTAAATGGTATGTTAATTCAAACTGATAAAACATGCACTGACATATCTTTAGTTCATATTAGGACTTATATTTTCTATTAGGTTTTACATTTGGTCTTGTAAATTCTGTGGATTTTAACAGAGGTGTAATGATAAGTTCCATTAGCATTTTTATTGTATTAATAGCCAGATATCTGTTTGATGATATAAAAAGGCACTAGAGTAGTTCCCCATACGAAATGCCAAACAATGACATTCACATTTTGGTCCTTTGATGTTCTCTTTAAAAATTAAATTCCTACAGAACATTTGTACATGCTTTACCTCAAAACTATTCCTTGCATATCTTTATCTCCAACAGCAAATTAGCTGTTGATGTTCTATACCTAGAGGATAGCAATTAACAATTATCAATATTGAGTGGGATAATTCAAACTAGGAGATAACAGATTTTAAAAAGAATATAATCTCAAATTTTTCAAATAATTACTTCCTGAATAGAATGGCCTCTGAATAATATCCTATTATGTGATCATTATGAAAATATAATAAATACTTCCAAAGTAGGGGCAGGAGGACTGAAAAAGCATTACTTAAAAGAAGATCAAACTACCAACTGGAGCAATAAGCTTTGTGTTGAAGACTTTTTTCCCTAGCTCAATTAGATATTTTAAAGCATCAAATGCATTATTCATTCATCAAATGGAATATCACCCAGTAGGTGGGACTTTCAAAGCTTAATATTTTTCCCAATGGAATGGGACTTTTACAGTGAAGTGATCAGAGCACTTCGAACATTTTAAATCCAGCCATGGGTTATTCTTTTTTTTATGTATAGTATCCAGAATTGCTTCATCTGCTGAAAGATATCCTTTCACGGCAGAAAACTTTAATTCATTAGGACCAAAACCCAGCAAGATTCAGGTATGATAGTACTCACAAAAGGTATGGGCATGAATAACATATTTATACCTGTAAAAATGTGGTAATGAAATAATACCTAAATTATAGATGATACTTAACAAGTAACAATTCTTCATACCATTCCTTTATTATACAATAATGGGTGCTACTGCACTCATCAAAAATATGCCAAAATCATATTATGGAAGGATATATTTGCCCCTTTATCTTTGATTGATCTTCATCTTTAAGTTATCATAATGTAGGAAGTATGTGTTTGAGGTGAATCCCATTCATGGAAGAATAGGGAACAGAATAATTGCAAAGGGAACTAATGGAGGAAGAATCTATAACAGGAAAGAAAAGATGTATGAGGAAACAAAAGGTTGTTGCATTAAGAATTATTTTCTCTCTCTCTGTCAGGATAAATAATTATTTCTTCTCTGAAGTTACTTTATTAAGTGGAGTCGCAGAACTTGTATGTTGTCTATAAAGATATTTTAAGTTGCAGATATAAATTCAAACTTAATATATTTTCATAAAACATAATTAGCAAAGGATCAGACTGCAAAATAAATGAAAGTACAAAGGTATGTGTCAAAGTAGGTGAAAGCTCTTGATATCATCATACTAGTTCATCAGATGGTTTATTGTCTAACTGCTGTCTACTAGGTTTGCATTTAATGACTTCAAATAGTTAGTGATGTTATTTAATCTTCAAATATCTGTTCTAAGACTATTTATTGTTATGAAGTATATTGAATACAGAAATTTACTAAACCATTCTTTCTGTTCCCAATAAGTTAAGGAGCAACTATTATTTTATAGCAGATAGCTGAATACATGTGAATACAAATATAGTATTCATCAAGAGAATAAGAATAAAAATTTCTGCTGTTTGGAATTTAAATATAGTTTCTAGAGATGATAACAGATAGATGATAGATAGACAGACAGATAGATAGGTAGACAGATAGATAGACCCCATATATGAAAGCTCCTACCAATTATTACATTCCAATATGATACTGTTGTTTTTCTTGACCATATAGGTATATCAAGCATTTTATCAACCATTTGCATATATTGATTTAAATATTCTCATAACCTAAAGAGTGAGCAAACTGAACCTCAGAAACATTAAGTAGCTTACTCATGGTCACAGAGCTAGTAAGATTTTTAGCTCATATCAGAATCCTATTGTATGTTCCAAAGGTCTGGCCTTGCCCATATTTTACTGTTCCCTGGATCTTAAAGTACTTTGATTTCAAAATAAATGTTTCATTACTGGCTTCTAATTTATATTCTTGAATATTCTGATTTTATATGTCATATGGTTATACAATTTCAACTGTAGTAAGTATGTTTTCTAAATGTAATTTTTCTCAAGGAATATAATTTTAAAATATGGCAATCATAATAGAAGATCATAAAATTTCAACTGATAACAATAGTAACTAGTACTTCCTTTGATGTAACACTATTTTGCTGTAAAGAAAGTTTATTATGATAATTACTGAGAATTTAGAAAAAGGAAAATTACTATTCTCCACAAAGAAAATTATCCCTGCTGATTGTATATTAGATAAAACTTAACCATTTCAAGGCCTAGATAAAAATCTTATAAATTCAACTACACAACTAATTAGTATACCATCAAGAATCAAGAAATTGATTAATGATCTGTTATAGACATTTAGACAAAATGTCTTATTTAATATTTGTAACTAATAAATATAGAAAATAATTCCCAAATAATTTTGGAGTCCATAAAAGAATCATATATGTGATACCAGCTGAAATATTTATATGTACTTAGTAAAACATATGAGTGTAAATAAAATCTTTTCAAGAAGTTCAAGAATTCTTAGTTTTTCATTTACTAAACACTGTATGATAAAATCCTAATGATAATAAGAACGGATGTAATTAAGAGGCCTAGTAGGATAATGAACCTTGGATGAATAATGTGGTTTGATCAAACAGCCTTGTTGAACAAACATCACATGGCCATTTTGATAAATTAACATATTGCTCAATTAAAAAATGCTATATTTGTCTGCATTTACTATTGGGGCAGGCCCTTTTAAAAATGTGGGAGTTTTATGCTCTGTGATTCTAAATATTTGGTGCAAAATAATTTAGTTAAGTCATCTTTGAACTGTTTATGAATATTATCAGTAATTCATTATTTTGTAGCCAAGAATTTCATTATTACATGATTAAACAAAATATGTTAGAGCTGGGGAAAAAAATGTGCTTCTATCTGAACCCCACTGGCTGATGATTAATTATTTTTTAAGATTAGAAATCAAAGATCTATTTGTTTTTAACATTATATAAAATCAAGTCTTTATAAATAACAAAAATAATGGGAAAATGCATGTACATGTTAAACAATAATATACAGAATTTAGGAAATACATGATTTTGTTGTATAAGTGCTGGAGAAATTAGTTTTTATAAGTTAAAGCCCCAAGTATAGAAAAGTAAATCTGAAATTTAGGAAAAGATACCTAATTGTTAAATTATGTCTGAATTTAGCAATTAGCATGAAAAACTTGTTTACTGTAATACATTTGACAGTTCCTACCACTAGTTCTGTTTCATACATTAATATTAGCCAAAGCAAAATGCTAGCATACAATGTTTTCATTTGTTGCTAATGATTAAATAAAAGCAAGGTAAAACTGACTCCAAAGTACAACATACATGCTCTATTTGAAAGTAATTTAAAAGGAGTTAGCACTTATAATTGTTTTTATTATTTGGATTTCATTTGGTAGTCCCTGTATTAGAATAGATAAATACAACTGAAAATATTTTAAATAAGATTATGCTTTTAATATGAAATAAAATGTTTTATATACCATTATATTATTAGATAAATGTAAATGAGAGGGATTAAAATAAAGTTAACAAGTAACAATCATGGTATTCATTGCACTTAAATTTTAAGAGCTATATTATAGGAAAATTGTACTTGGCTTTTTTCACACACAATGCATTTTTAGAAAAATTTACATGAAGCTTAATAACTCATCTCTTACTTGCTTTCTTGTTCTATATCTTGACTCTGAGACTGTAGGCAGAAAGGTTATATTTCTATTATATTTAATAAATCATTTGAAAACATTATACATAAATTAAGTGTAAAAAGCTACTTACCTGCATGGAAATCTATTCCCACAGCAAATGAAGTTCCTGATATAGGCATTAAAGCATCCATTTTGTCACTTGGTTCCAGAGGTATTCCCCTGATTCCTTCGTGAACAGAATACATAAGAAATGACTCTATACCTAAATTGGGGATGGAGGGGAAAAAACAAAATACTTTAAAAAAATTGACATTGTTCTATTAGCATTATTTATAATGCTTATAATTTCATTTTTACACTATTTCTCAGTCCGTTATATTAATCATACATAACACTTCTGAAAATTTTAAGGTGGGCACATCTGTGGTTCTCAAACTTTATACACAACAGAATATAATCCTTTACATCAGAATCATATACAGTGTTTTAAATGAAGGTTATTTCAATTCAATTAAGTAAGTAATTATTACAAATTATTGGGCCCCGAAGGGCATAGAAATTTAATTTCTTACAAGTTCCCAGATAGTGGTGATGCTACACTGCAAAACATATTTTCATAAAAACGTGATAAAAATTACTGAAAACTTGCCTGGCCTCATAACCAAAAATCATCTGATCTTCTCTAAAACACTAGTGTCTTTGTTTCATGTGATTACAAATTCCTTTGGGACTAATATCCATAGTCTATCAAACAAGACATGGAAATGTAGATTTCATAGGTTCCAATTCTTTTGAAGTGATTTTCTTTCTCACATGAGCAAATTGAGACCTCATGTTTTCTTAAATAATCAAAAGTAAATATTACAATAATATAAATTGCCTTCCATTAACCATAGGCAATTATCCATTGATTTTGTTTTAAGATTTATTTATGTATGCATACAGAACTGGGGTACAGGCCAGAGGCATAGGGGAGGTGAGAGGATTCACCAGAGACAGAGTGGGGAAGCAGAACAGGCAGAGTGAAGAAGTACACTGCTGAGGGGAGCAGCGGGCAGGTCAGGAGAGGTCTGCTGCACCATGTGGATCACCTCCTGGGCAGGCAGGTATGGGACTCATGCTGAAGTGGCTTTTGCTTCTTAATACTGTGCTTTAACTCACTGTACCACCAGGGAGGGGCCAATATCCATTGATTTTTCTTTCAATATTTGCCCATTCAAATTGAAGTTATCTTAGTAGATCTTGTTAAAGGTTTGATAATAAACTGCTATTCCTGAAAATAACTAAAATTGTAGTAAGTTCTACAAAGAAATGCAGTACTTTAAATATTTCAGATATATAGAAATTCTGTATATGAGAGATAACCCATGTACTATTGTTCTAATTACAAGATAATATTATTTCTTTTTCTAATCTTAACTGATGGTCTAACTTTCATCAAGTAAGTAAATATATCAAAACCAAGACTTTTTAAGATTTTATACCTTGACATGACATTCGATTCTTTTGGAGATAATATCCCACAGTACACATGCAAGTTCTTGTACTTTCAGATGTTGGCAAACAAAGCTGAGAGCATCCACCATTATTTAGTTGGCAGGAATTGCTACCTAAATAGTAGGAAAACGTACAAAAGAAACATAAAATTCACTAAAAATAAGAGTATTGCCCAATATCAATAGCAACTGAATCAATGTACACAATTTTATTAATTTCTATAATTTCTATAGGTTGGTGTCACAGTTTAGTTTCCTGAGTAATTTGAAGTGGCAAATTATGTCTGAATTTTGTCTCTCCAACAGAGTAAATGAACTGAGTACAGAGAATAATTATTTTAAAAAATACTATGGTCAACTTCAATATTTAGTTTTGAATTTAAAATTGCTAAGAAACTAGTTCTGAATTGCTTCTAATTCAAAAAGGAAATGATAATTATGTCATATATTAGAGGTATAAACTAAGATAAACTGGTAATTAAATTGCAAAATAGCAATATATCAATTAATCATATTATATATCTTAATCTTGCTATATGTCAATTATATGTTCATAAAATAAACAAATAAGTAAATGAAACTGCATGGTGAAATCTCATAATTATTGAAAAGCTAAAAAAATTAGTTCATCATAAATAGGTCATAAGCCTCTAACATTTTCAGATAACAGAAATAATGTAATTTTTAACTGTAAATTTCAGATTAACTCTACAGTTACCTTCTTTTCAAGAATAATTTTGTGAACATATATTAAATAAATTGCTATTATATAACTAGCTCAATTTAAAGATTATGAATTGTATTAATGGTTATTATTATGCAGTACATAAATTGTTTTATATTACTAGATCAATTCAAAATCATCATTATCAAGAAAGGAGGTACATGTGTTTAATAAGGAAAGATATAGATATTTAAAGTAAGATATAAATTTTTTTCCATTTCTAGCACCATAATTCTGCCAAAATCTGTTTTATAACACAGTCATAAGAGTCATCTAACTAATTGTTATACCAATTATTCCTGTGTAGTAGCAATGACAAATATTAGTCAGGTAATCACAGGTAGGCATTCTATAAAGACACAGAATTGAATTTACTATACCCAATATGCTAATTAAAGGCACTAGCATGAAGTTAAGTAATTTATAACCTCACCCAGCAAGTTCATTAAATATCTAATTTTTACACCATTTTTATTATTCTAGGATGTGAAATGCCATTACTGGATGCTCAGGCACTAATATGAAGTGCAAAAATCCAATGAGAATTACAAAGCATGATGGAAGCTATTTAAAATAGTCCTCTATGGAAAATTCAAAATACCAGTGTAACTCATTAGTTCTCATCTCCTGAATTCAAGATAGTCTGATGGGATTTAACTGTTCAGTTGAAACTGCTTTGAGTTCTGTCAAAGCTGAAGTGTGAAATATCCTTTCTCAACATGGGAGAATTCTTATCAGGATATCTACCACCTTCTGTTTATTTCCTATAGCAGCCTGTTCAGTCAATGCAGAAGCTCATCTTATGTATAGCCACAAACCTAGGATTTGAGGTGTCCTAGATTTTTTAAATAGCCCCCTCTATCTTCTATATAAACTAATGGAGATTAATTTATTCCCCTTTCATCAGTTACAATAGTAAAAATAATTATAAATAATTATGAAACTTTTATAAGTAAATAATGAAACTTCTATAGATTTGGAATAAATCTATACATTATCAATGTACATATTTCATTTTATATAAATCACTGAATGTATATTAACACCATAGCAATATAAAGAAGTACTCATTTGGAGGCAGATTTAGTTTAATTGTCATTGAAGACTTAAACACAGGGAATTGTTTTGACAATTTATGCTTACTTAACTCTTAAAGTTTGAAAAAATACAAATGTAATGTAGAGAAAACAAAGGAATTGAAGTCAAGAGAAACAGATTATGGAAGAGTGTAAGTTTATAAAAATAAGAGAAATAAGGGTTATATAAATTTGAAAGTATCAAGAACATTTAAAACAGAAGCATCTGAAACTATACATTTTAAATGCAAATACTGTACAGTAATGCATATTACATTACCTTTATTTTTTGATAAATAATGAAATTAAACTACATTTTCAATTAAACTAGGTTTATGTTTTATAGCAACAATATACATTACATACATTATTAGTTTAGTATAGGAGACACTGATAGTGAAGCAGAGAAAAATTTTCAAGTCATTATTTACAATAGTATCTACACCTATTAAATATATATTGATATAGGAAAATTGGCTAGTTTTAAAAGTAATAATTTAGGTTAGTGATCATCTAGTAAGTTAGAATTACTAGCTTGACTTACTCTTCTATAATGATACTGATGTTCAAATCTTGTATCTAAAATCTGTAGTGGAGTTAGAAAGTCTACTTGACTAAGGAGAAGTCTCTGCTCTCCAATGATCTATGTCAAATTGATAAATGAAGTAGCTAACTGTACTTTGAAATTCAGAGAGGTAGTAATGTTAACACCTTAAATAGTCTTAAATCGCTCATATTTCGTACTAATGAAGCTTTTAAGCTACCTGCTGTTATTCTGTTAATGGGACTGCCTTTACTACGGATGCTTTTATCACCATATCATTCTTATAAAAACAGTATATTCACTTCATTTTAACCTTAGCTATATTACATGACCTGTTTCTAAGTGCTAGAGGTTCTTGAGAGTTCAGTAATATTTTCAGTGTGAAGAATACACCACTGTACCTCTAATATCAAATCCTTAAAAGATGAGGGAAATCCTATTAACATGAACAAACAGAATCAAAGATGACATAATTTTTTTTCTTTTAGAAACTTTATTAGAAGTATATCTACAAAAATTAATGTATTAATTTCAATAAAATATCATTAGTTCCTATTTTCAAAAAGTATATATATATATATATATATATATATATATATATATATATACATACTATGTATGTGCATGTATATAATGACTTATTTGGAAATCTGCATATATATATTGTTACGAGTTTTCAAGTATAATCTCATTAAATATAGAGTATAAATTAATTTTTAACAGTACTGTAAGTTTTTAAATTTTAATTTATTAGTTGAGTTAAAGTTCATGAGAGTTCTGTGATATTTTACTTATTTTCCCAATTATACAACAAAATATTTTATTAGTGATTTGCAAGCAAAAATAGTCCTGTTCATTCTTACAATAAACAATGATCAAAAAATTTTAAACTTCAGAATACACATTTCCACATGACAATTTCGGTGGTCATAGCTTTTAAGAATGAAAATACCTCAATAAGCACTTATTTTTTCTTAAAAATATTATTTTATAATTTTATTTCTGCTGCCCTTGGCAAGAAATTATTCCAGAATAGAAATCAGTCGTTGTTCTATAAAGAAAGCAACTATGGATCTGACCTTTACTTTGCCCTCTGATGGCCAAGATTGACTCTCTAGTAAATTTTGCCTGCTTAATGATTATCAGCTCTTTTCAGAATTAGTGATCCTCTTGGTTCACTATTCTTGTCCCTAATTCCTCTCTGATTTGGCCTATAGACTCAAAATTGTTACGATGAAAATCCCTTTAAATCTTGAATTTTTTCCTAATTAAAAAAAAAGTGTAAGAAATTAAAATCTTTCATGAGATAGCCTAAAGTAAAAAAGTATAACAGAAAAATATATTTTTCTAGGAAGGGATTTCTGTTAATGCCGTGGATCATGAAGCAAACACTGAGAAAGGACTAGCAGGTGTGGGGCTGTACTGGCTGACATCTCGAATCTAATTGCCATTTGGGCAATGTGACAAGTCCACCTATGTAAACCATCTGTTAGTTCTCTCACTCCATTTCACTGCACACCATTTGGACAAGAAAAAACAGAAAGCAAAATGTTTAGATCCAAACAATGTAGTGCTTTGGATATAAAATTCATTTAGTTCTTGGGCTATATAATGCATATATTTTACAAAGATATCATTCTTACAGTTTTTAATAAAGAGGTGGTTAAGTCTCCTCTTTGAAGACTTGACGAATCAAGATTCCTTGGGAAGCTTTAGTAATGTTTTGAAAGCTCATTTTACACCTACGATAGGAATATCTTTTGCAGTATTAATGACATTTTTTTTTCTTTTACTTATTTAGAAGCAAAAACAAGAAACTCAAATTGTTAGACTGAGGAAATAATATATATATATATATATATATATATATAATCCCAAAGGTGGTATGAATTCATTAATGAGACTTACCTTGCTGTGCCTCTTTATCATATATTTTCATATGAACAACCCCAGAAGTCTTATTTCTTAGGACTGTGGGGTTTCTTCCATCTCTTTTGCTGCAGGTTCCCAGCTGAGCTAAGCTTTGATCTGCCCACCACAATTTCTTATCTATAAAAGTGAAAGGATTTTCTTTATGAAAAAGATAATCATCTTATTAAATAAAAATAAGTAGATCTGAAATATAATACTTTCTGAATTCTTTTTTCTTAATTTCCAAAAATGTTTTTAAGGGAGATAGTTAAATAACATTTACCTTTAAAAATGAAAAGTATTGTTACATTTATTATTTACATTTTCATACTCCGTTCCCTGTTAGGGAATTTTACTGAAATTTTGTTCTTCCTTAAAAACAATATAAAAAGGCACATTTCATATTATGGGGTGTAAACTTTACAATTTATGCACTTAAGCATTATGATAGCATTATATTATATTTGTGAATAACTGACAAAAATCCAACAATCTAAACCACAGATACAAAAAATATACTATTCTTTAACATTTTGCTTTAGAGTGTAAACTTTTAATTTCTAATATACTCCTCTTTTTGACCATTACAGTGATAATAATCATTTTTTCACAGTTAATAATCTCTTTTTCAAATTTTTGTTCATGAATACTGTTTCCTCACATTGTGCATTTGGCTGTAAATATTCCATAGTGTGCTTCAGATAAAAACAGTCATGATAATGAATCTAGTATTCTAGTGAGTAGTGTATGTTTATTATATTATTATTTCAAATTGGTATAGCAAAACCTAAGGCAAATATGATCATTGCTATTTTCTAAATGAAGAATCTGAGTACTCATCTTTAGAGTAATAGAGATTAATTACCTTAATCAAATTTACATAACTAGTATTCCTGTCTCTAAAACTTGTGTTTTTTCTAAGACCCATAATGAATACATTTTTAAAAATCAAGGTATTGCAATTATTTTATAAAAAAGTATATATTTTTACAGGTTTTGAACTATTTGGAGTAGTCAACAAAAACAGAATTAATGACAATTGAAACTTCATCAACTTTTGCATAGAATTGTGGTTAACTTTATTTTTGAAAAAAAAAATCATAACTGTGACTTTAAGGTGCGATTTTTCTCATTCAGATTTGAGGATATTTTGAGAGAATAAAGGCCTACTTCAGACATTGAAAGGACAATATTACATCAAAAATAATCATCACACCCTGAATCTGATTTTGTGTAATGCACAATTATAAACATCAGAGACAAAGTGATCCATTCGATCTGCACCACTATTATATGAGGTAAGTACTATATTATTGCAAATAAATGATCCACTCCTGAACAATATCTTCACTACTAGCAATCCTCTCAGAATTTTATTATTAAATTATTTTCCACTTAAAAAGCGTGACACTGAGTGAAGAGAGATTAGTTCCCTCCACCCCTGGGATACAGAATGATAGTGGCCCTACTTTATGAAGTAAGTTTGCACTGATTTCCATACTCCCTACTAGTTATCTAATTTCTATAGTGTCCCCTTCCACAGCAGGCTGCAATTTAGTCTTCACTCTTGACAAATTGATATGGAAACCTAAATTATGATGATGAAGTTGATTAGCCCACTGATGTATGTTTTTATTAACAATAGTGAGAGGTGTTATTTTAAAAGAATAAATGCATGAATCACATTATGTATTAGTGAACTGAATATTTTCACTTCTATTTCTTTCATCAAATCACTATGATGAAAACACAGGACATACACACAACAATATATAATAAACAAGAAAATGAGGGATACTTAAAAACTTCTAAAAGATGGTACATGTTTGGAAATAGGAAAAATACTAGAATAAACATAAATTTGCAACAGAGTATGTGATTTCATTTTAATTTTGAAGGTATATTTTATTAGTAATATTAATATGAAAATAGTTAATATTTAAACCCACATAAAAGATCATAGTGGCCCTCCATGGTGGTGCAGTGGGCTAAAACACTGCACTGAGAAGCTAAAGACCATTTCCATATGAGTTCAATCCCTGCCTGCCCAGAAGGTGACCACATGGCACGGCAGACCTCTCCTGACCCGCCCGCTGCTCCCCTCAGCAGTGTACTTCCTCAATCTGCCTGTTCTGCTCCCCACTCTGTCCCTGGTAAATCCTCTCATCACCCCTGCACGACTGACTTGTACCCTAGTTCTGTATGTATAAATAAATAAATCTTTAAAAAAAAAAAAGTCATAGTAAAGATGGATGACTATCATATATAAAAGCTACCACATGCAGATTTTATGGTAATAGATTTAAAATCGAGAATAAATACCTTCAGCATTGTAAGTGGAATATTTCCTATACAGCCAAAGAAAATACAAAAAGAGTAAAAGACATCCTTCAGAATGGGATGTCTCAAGAAAGGAACCTACAGCCTCTTTTCTACCTAGTGCCTGGCTCTGTGTGCCAAGGTCTCTCTATGCACCTATGTGTGTAAATGATTCAGATAAGTAGCCACTCCCGCATGACTGCCTTGAGACAATGACCCACATCACAAGGTGGTCGGAGACACCAAGGTGACCTATAACTGATTGCCAGGGTCCGAGAGTAGTTTGGGAGTAGTTTGAAATTATACAATGGACCTGCATGGGAAATGCTCCCTAGACATGCAGTGATATGACCTCACCTCATCCCCACAAGCTTGATTAGCCCTTCACCCCTTGAAGTCCTGCACCCCATAAAATAAATATCTTTCTTTCCCCAGACCCTGCTTCTACTGCCATTGTGACATAAGCAATCATGTTTATTCAGAATTACAAAATAAATATTAAGACAACTCCTCACACAGGAACAGATTCTTGCCTTGCAAACCTGGTCCAGGACTCATCCCTCAAATGTGCCCCTGCAGGGTATGTGGGCACATCCTTGACCATTAGACAACCTTATTACACTGCTGGTGAAAAATGTGAACTGGTGAAATCATGATGGAAAGAAACCTGGATTTACCTTAAAAATCTAAAAATGGAAATACTGTACAACCCTGCACTTGTCCAAACACTATGAAATTATTGACAAAGAAAACCTTATATTTCACAAATTACATAGTAGCACCATTTACATTACTTTTAACACAGACACAGCTGAAATGTTTATCAGTGTATAATTGGATCAAGAAGATGTGGTATATCCACACCATGGAGTATGCTATAGCCATAAGAAAAGATAAACTATAGTCATTTTCATCAAAATGGAAGGAACCTGAGAGAATTAAATGTAGCACTGTAAGTCAGAATGGTAAAATCAAATACTGATCATTTATGTAGCAGAAAATTTAATAACATAGAACACTTTCAAAACCTTTCATGTGACTAGATAGACAGATAGCTAGACAGGCAGGAAGGCAGATAGGATATGTGAACGCAGCTAATGGGGAGGATGTGTATGTATGGAGGTAGGAGGTAAGTGGGATGTAGCTATGTATTTTCCTCTCATTTTTGCTGTGAACCTAAAACTTCTAACAAAATTAATTCTTATAAAAAAGCAAAAAAAAAAAAAAGGAAGAATCGCCAGCTGTAACACTATGGATGAAATTTTAGGACATTATGTTTAAAGGAACCAGTCACAGAAGAACACACACTGCATGATTTCATATATACAAGTTATCTAAATAGCAAAAAAAACATAGAAAGAAAGTAGACTGGAGGTTATTAGGAACCAGATGGGAAAAGGAGTGGTAAATAGGGAGTTAGAGTTGAACAGGTAAAATGCCCTAATTTTACATTAAAGAATAAATTTTAGAGAGTTGCTGAATAGCATTTTGCCTATTTTTTTTTAAAAAAAGATTTATTTATTTATTTGTACAGAACTGGGATATAGGCCAAAAATGCAGAGGGTGAGAGGATTCACCAGAGACAGAGTGGGGAGCAGAACAGGCAGATCGATGAAGTACGCTGCTGAGGGGAGCAGCTGGCAGGTCAGAAGAGGTCTGCGGCGCCATGTGGAGCTCCTCCAGGGCAGACGGGGATCGAACTCATGCGGAAGTGGTTTAAGCTTCTTATGCAGTGTTTTAACCCGCTGCACCAACAGGGAGGGCCCGCATTTTGCATATTTTTTAATATTAATAGCATCTTTTACACTTATAATTTCTTAAGAGGGTGCATTCCACAAAAATAGGAAAAATAATTGAAGACTACCATTAGTGCTGTTTATAAAATGGGTACAATTTTGTACCCATTTTGTTTGTTCTGCATCTTTGTACAGCTTTACTGTGTACTTTTAACTGCAAATATATACCCTATTTTCAGTAAAATGATTTAGCCTAGTTTATACCCATATATACCCTTCCTTCAACTGATTCTGTAGTCTCCACAAACAGAATCACAGTTTTATATTCAATTGTTGCATTTTCTTTTAATTTTACTTGTACTACTTTTCACTCCTTAGCCAGAGATGAAAGTTCTTGTAGACAAAGATCCTATCTTATACTTCTTTGTAATCTTTAGTGTTTTGCATTCATTTGAATGGAATATGATATAGAAAATCCTTACATACCTGTGAAATGAGTGGGGAAGTAAATAAGACTAAAAATACCCAACCATGATAGTTCACAACTTCGGAAACATTTAAATAAAGTTTTCCTTACTAATTTATCTATCTATCTGTCTGTCTATCTATCTATCTATCTATCTATCTATCTATCTATCTATCTATCTATCTATCTATCTGGGCTCCCTGCCCTTGCAATAGATTCAGTACTATGAATCTATTGGCAGCCATGACAGCATGAGTTAGGTCCCCAGCCAGGGAGGTGACACACATGGCTCAGCAGACCTCTGCTCCCCTCAGTAGTGAATTTCAGTAGATCTGCCTGTTATGCTCCCCACTTCGTCTCTGGTGAATATTCTCACCTTTCCCTACTCCCACACCTCTGGCCTGTAAACCAATTTTTCAATGTAATAATAAAATTTAGAAAAAAAACATTTCAAAATATCTTCCTTACATCAACAAAAGCTTAATACTTGACTGCATAATCATTATTTTAAATCACAGTTGTGCCTTGATTATTTTCTCACAATTATTGATTTTCAAACTGCTGGATTAAATTGTTTGTAATTATGGATGACTCTACCATTATGGGTTAAGTTGTGT